TAAAGTTCGAAAAAATTTGGACGATTATCAAAACAGACTGCGGCTAAGTTCATTACAAACTTGAGCGATGATATTTCAATGATTTTGGATAGGTAGTTATCGAGATATCATCGCTCAAGTTTGTAAAGAACTTAGCCGCAGTTTTTGTTTGATAATCTAATTTTTTTTTTGAACTTTAAACAAGGATATCTCGAGGACTACCTATTTAAAATCGATGAAAATTTTTTTATTTTGATTCTATGAATCAATAAAATTAAAATAAAAAATTTAATCGATTTGAATAGGTAGTTATTGAGATATCCTTGTTTAAAGTTCGAAAAAATTTGGACGATTATCAAAACAGACTGCGGCTAAGTTCATTACAAACTTGAGCGATGATATTTCGATAACTACCTATTCAAAATTAATAAATTTTTTATTTTATTTTATTTTAATTCTATGAATCATAGAATCAAAATAAAAAAATTTCATCGATTTTATATAGGTAGTTCTCGAGATATCCTTGTGTAAAGTTCAAAATAATAATAATAATAATAATAATAAGGATTATCAAGGCTGCTCTTTCCAAACTTTGAGCGAAGAAATCGACGAAATTTTTTTTATTTTAATCACATGAATACATAGAATTAAAATAAAAAATTTTCTTCGATTTTAGATATCTTCGCTCAAAGTTTGAAAAAAGTTGTTGAGGATCGTCAATTTCGTCCCGATACTTTTTTTCGCCATGGCTAGGGTACTACCGACCCAACCGTGGTTGACCCGGGTTACTGTAAATAAACGGGTGGTTGACCAGGAGTAGAATTTTATACCGGGCCTATTCATTCATTGGGCCCAAGTCCGGATCAAAAATGTGGGCCCAGGCCCGGCCAATATTAACGGCTCAAAAATGTGAGTCGATTTAGGCCAAAGCCGGCCGACCCACGATTTCCGGGCCTAGTCCAGCTCGTTCCTACCCTAGTTGATACATAGATGTACTCGCCTTTGAGATTTCGTGGTAGAACTATCGCTATGCTAACTTTTTTTAAAAAGATAGGATACTTTAACAGTAGAGTCCTACAAAATTCTTATTTTATTTATTTTTTTTAATCCCTCCCATAAGTTAAATACGTCATACCAGATTTACATAAATAAATAAGATCAGCATTTTTTTCAGCCCAATAAATAACTCACTCACAGTATATAAAAATCTTTTACCTCTAAAGATGACGACTAAACAAAAGAAAGGCATGTTTCCCGTTTATCTTTCTTTTTTTTATATATATATTTTGACATTCATTTGAAATGTTGATCTTTTGATTTTTTTATTCACCTAGGTCCAACGCAGGTTTGATAAGAAATGCCAGTTTCATTTTTGTTCTTCGCTTTCTATTGTTCTCAGTAATATTCTCAATAAATAAATTCTCTCATAAACGATCATCAACACATGGATAATAGGCAGAATTGATGTTAAAAGCATGTTCTGAAATAGTAAATGAATTAATAACAGCTCACGAACAAAACAAAGATGTTAATCTGAATGGATTGAAAACAAAATATTCGAGACTTAATAAATTATCAAATCAGCCTAAATTGGTTGACATTATTGCGGCTATACCTGAACAGTATAAAAATGCATTGATGGGAAAGCTGAAAGCTAAGCCTATTAGAACTGCTAGTGGGGTACGTTTTAAGATAGGAATTTTGTGTAAGAGTTATATATTAATAAATTGGATCTTGGATAGCAAAAGAATAAGAATATAAAAAATTGATATATTTATTTTATAAATAGATTGCTGTTGTAGCTGTTATGTGTAAACCACATCGATGTCCTCATATTGCAGTTACTGGAAATGTTTGTGTGTAAGCGAATTATAAATTTATAATTACATAGATGAAGTTTATATGATTCATATTTAATTTCAATTATCATTTTGGTAAAATTATATAGATATTGTCCAGGTGGTCCAGATTCCGATTTTGAATATTCAACGCAATCATATACTGGTTATGAACCAACAAGTATGAGAGCTATTAGAGCAAGATATGATCCTCTAGAACAAGCCAGAGGACGTGTTGATCAATTGAAAAGTTTGGGTCACAATGTTGATAAGGTAGCTATCAAACAATAATAATATTTTTATAACATTGATGGTTTAATTTATATATTACTTTACCAATAAGGTTGAATATATTATTATGGGTGGCACGTTTATGTCATTACCTGAAGATTATAGAAATTGGTTTATTGCCAATTTACATAATGCTTTATCTGGTCATACAACTAATGATGTTGATGAAGCTGTAAGGTATGAAGCATATCATTTTATTATTATTGTTTTTTTTTATTTACAATCTAAGTTTAAACTATATAATTGTCTTATTAAATCTCTTTTTGATAGTTATTCGGAACTAAGTATGACAAAATGTATTGGAATTACTATTGAAACACGTCCTGATTACTGTTTGAAGCCACATTTGAGGTATTAATAATCTTACACGGTATTTTAAGGCTATATAACCCGAACTTTTTTTTTGGTTCTCATAAATCGACATGGTTAAAATTAGCAAACCATAATGAAATTATGACTATTTTGGTAGAAATTTATAACATTTGTTATATATAAATCTTTTGAAATAAAATTAATACCGGATTATCAGGTCATTTTTAAATTTATGCTATGAGAACCAAAAAATTAATATGTATAGTCAACCAATATCACGATATCTACATTCCAAACTCATATCAACTCTTTCTCATTCTTTTTACTTAAAAAGTCAAATGCTACGGTATGGATGTACACGCCTAGAAATAGGTGTACAAAGTGTATATGAAGATGTAGCAAGAGACACAAATCGTGGTCATACGGTTAAGGCTGTAACTGAAACTTTTCAGCTAGCAAAAGATACAGGATTTAAGGTTGTTTCTCATATGATGCCAGATTTACCTAATGTTGGTATGGAAAGAGACTTAGATCAGTTTAAAGTATGTTTTGAATATTATAATATCATAATATTATGTTGTTCCCATTTTGTATATAATGCTTATTAATATTTATATATTTATTTTATATATTATATAGGAATATTTTGAAAATCCTGCTTTTCGAACTGATGGGCTAAAAATTTATCCAACTTTGGTTATTCGTGGAACTGGTAATAAAAAAAAATTTACTATTTTATATAATTAGTTTATTCCATTCATTCCTAATTTAAAGCTTTTTTCGATTCTATAGGGCTTTACGAATTATGGAGAACAGGCCGATATAAAAATTATACGCCTAACGCACTGGTTGATCTGATCGCTAGAATTCTAGCTCTTGTCCCTCCCTGGACTAGAATTTACAGAGTACAAAGGTAAATCTAATACGTATTTTCATGTAATTTGTAAATATGATAGTGACTTACAAATCTATGAAACATTTATGATGAAAAGAGATAT